TACTGCCATCTGCTGTGCCTACCAGGAGATGACAGCAACTCAGCGCAGAGATCCCAAACAGATGTGGACTCTCCTTCCCCCTTGGATTAGTTGGTGAGAGCTGCCATGACAACATACACAGACCGAGCATGTTAAAAAACAGAGATTTATTTTCTCATGGTTCTGGAGGCTGGAAGTCCAAGATCAAGGTGTTTTCAAGTTTGATTTATCCTGAGGCCTCTGTCTTTGGCTTGAATACAGCACTTTTCTGCCTAGTCCTCCTTTTTTCTTTTGTGTCTCTTCCACCAGTCCTATTGGAGTAGGTCAGTAGGGCCCTATCCTATGACCTCATTTAACCGTAATTACCTCGTTAAAGGGCCCATCTCCAAATATTGTCACATTGGGGAATAGGCCTTCAACATATGAATCGGGGAGGGTGCAGAATTCAGTCTGTAACACACCACATACAAACACACACACGCACCATGTGGTTCCTGGACACTTGAAAATATCTATGGGGCACAGAGTGGGGCTGGCTGCAGCTCACTGGCCCATCGCATGCATGTGGGTAGGAGGCTTCAGGGTCCTAATGCTGTCGGGCCAGCTCCATGCTCACTGCCCCCCTGCAGGAGTTCCCACTCAGCAGCTCCTGCTGTGGGGTGATCTGCCTTCAGATGAGTAGCTCCTCACCAGAAAAAAAGCTGAGACCCCTGCTCCAGAGGGTGTGCCTTGACCCTTGAACCCTATTTGAGTGGGGCAACCTTTGCAACATCCTTTTATCTATTTGTTCAGGAAAAGGCAGAGATATATCTTAGGAGAAAAGGCTTTCTCCAGGAGAGCAGGCATCTCGCTGTGCTGTCTTTGTGTCAGGGCCCGTCGCTGTCTCATCTGTCACCAGCCATGCGGAGTGTTCCTTATGGCCTCCAGGCTTTTCTATTCCCCTCTACTTGTTCTATTTTACAATACTCTGTGAAAAAAATAAAATGTTCGGAGATTCCTGGTCGGGTGTGCCTTTTAGTATAAATGTAGCTCTTCTCTTTCCGATAATCCTCAGCTCTTCTGCACCACAGTCAGATGTCCACTTACAGTAACAGAACTAAGAATTTTCCTCTCTGCTTCATTAGCATCGCTAGATGTGACAATTAAAAGGAAGCCATG